TCAGCCTTCCGAGTAGCTGGAACTACAGGCGCGCGCTACCACACCCGGCTGATATTTTGATTTATTGTAGAGACGAGGTCTCGCTGCACAGGCGGGTCTCGAACCCGTGGGCTCAGGCAATCCACTTACCTCAGCCTCCCAAAGCGCGGGATTACAGGCTGAGCCACCGAGCCCGGCCACTCGATCTTATTTATTCCATCTAACTGTATTTTTGGACACAGTAACCCACCCCCATTTCCCCTCGCTCCCCACTACCCTGCCAGCCTTTCTTTGGTAACCATCAATCTACTCTCTATCTCCATGAGGTGTTGTTGTTGTTTTTTCCTAGCTCCCACAGATGAGTGAGAATATGTGGTATTTTTATTTCTGAGTCTGGTTTATTTCACTTAACAAAATGTCCTTCAGTTCCATCCATGGTGCTACAAGTGACAGAATCTCATTTTTTTTGTGGCTGAATAGTATTTCGTTGTCTCTGTGAGCCACGCGTCCTTTATCCATGTATCCATTGACAGACACTTAGGTTGACTTCATGTTTCAACTGTTGTGACTAGCGCTGCCGTAAACATGGGTGGTTAGACGTCTCTTTGACATACCGATGCCCTTTCTTTGGGATATATCCACAACAGTGGGATCGTTGGATCACGTGGTAGTTCTAGTTTTAGTTTTTTGAGGAACCTCCATACTGTTCTTTGTAGTGGCTGTACTGATTGGCGTTCCCGCCAACAATGTATGAGGGTTTCCTTTTCTCTACATACCAGCACATGTTTATTTTTAAAATGGGCATAATAATAGGACCTATCTCAAAGAGCTGGAGCAGTGGTTGACAACAGACAGCACTCAATAAACATCAGCTATTATTATTCTCTTTAGGCCACCACTGGATATTTTCTGTGGGCCAGGAACTATGCTACAGTAAGAGGGAAAAAAAAGTACATCATTGACCAAGCCCTCAAACTCCCCATAGAAGGAGAGAGAGAGAAATAGTACAATCAGCAGAGTGAGTGCCAACTAGAGAAACACCAAGAGCTGAGGGTGCTCCCTGGAAGGGTCTTCTGGGCTCAGGGATACCCAGATAGCAGGTTAAAGGATGTCAGGGAATGATCATTAGAGCATATGACCCCTGAGCTGCATCTAAGAAAGATAATGATTAATTGAATGGGTAAACAGTAAGGAAGGTGTTCCAGCAGTAAGCAGTATTGTCAAGATCCAGAGGTGTGAGAAATCCACAGTCACTCAGTAGGGATGAATCAGAGAGTCCACGTCACAGGATACAGACGGTGACAGTCCTTGTCTAAGTCAGATATAGATATGAATGAAATGGGCTTTAGTGTGGGAAATGGCTCATTGATTCTAAAGGCCAAGAGGTCCTGCAATATGCTGTCTGCAATCTGGTCTGAACCAGGAAAGTTTGTGATGTAATTAAACCTAAGTCCAAAGACCTGAGGCACTGGTGTA